CTCCTTGTGTGGCCGTAATACTCTGTCGTACTTTAGAATTAGGGGACTTAAATATTTGAGTTAGTGTTTTAGGTTAGTGGAACTAATTTTTAGATTAATGCTCTGTAAAAATGTAAACTTCAAAATTTTGTCATAACATTTAAGGTTTAACTTTTATATTTAGATTTAGAATTTAACATTTAGACATAACATTTAGCAGAAATGAGCAAAATGTAAGAATAGTGAGCTAAATAATATTTTCTTTGAAGATGTTACACTCAGAAAGTTAACTAAATTATGCAAATGTGTTAGTGAGATTATTTAACATTTTATTTACACTTGGCGCCCCGTAGGTTACAGCATAGTGACTGATCCCCTCAAAGTTACACTCTGCAAGATTTCAGTCAATGTAGAGTCATTAAAAGGCTCAAACAAAACTAACACAACAACAACWGACTGTATCTCAGAGTATGACTTTTTCACTGCCCGTTTGTCGTATCAAATCATTCAATTTGACCAATGAACACAGACACAAACAGCCACACTCGCACGCGCACCGTGGACGTACACACAGAAAGAAACACGCATATGTTCACGCGCGCGCTCACGCATACGACACGGAAACACAAACGACACAAAACACATGTAGAAATGCACTGATACAGACAACATGACATACATTTGCTGGCAAACTCTGCACTGCTGGCTATATGTGCATCAGTTAAATGTGTGCGTGAGTGTGAATTAAAACAGACTTGTCATTTTAAATGTTACCAACAGTAAGACTTGTAGACAGAAAGACCTAAATAAAGCTCTTTCATCAGTTTTCGACCCCACATCTAACTTCTACTGCAATTACAAATCAACCACTACCTCCACTGGACATCTTTGACACATCCCATCTAAATTTTTCAAAGCTCTCTCTCTACTTTTTCTTCTTTTTCCCCCCCCCTGCTCGCTTCGTATTCACTCCTGGCTGTTAAAGGCACAGGTGAATATTTGATTCTGGATTCCCTGCTGAGGACTTCAGGCTCCCCTAAAGTGGGCAGAGTGATTTGCTCTGCGTGTCTGAGGCTAAAGAGGCCGTGCTTCGAGAAAACATCACGGGTCTCTGGTCGCGGTGCCATCACGCCGGATGAGTCCTTTCTCACTCTGCGGTGCCCCTCGGAGACAAAATCATCACTTGCATATTCCCGCAGTTGCACCCAATCTGTGCCACGACAAGCCACATTTGAAAAAAAGCACACTGACTGCTGGTGCATGGGCAGTCCTCAAAAAAGCCTCCGGCGGAGGAATAATCCTTATGTGGCTGAGAAATAAAAAGCAGAATTGAGGCCAGCTGCCAATCTCTAATAGATTACTCCCTAAGCTGATAATAATGATCAAGTGGGGCATTCTAACTTACTCTCCAGGCAAATATTAACTAATGAAAAAAGAACTATGCACATATTTTGTTTAATCTAGCAGCTATGTCCAGACTGTTGCTGTGTATTTGACAACCRTAAGGAGAAGAATGACATGTGACATGTGTCTAAAATGGCTGCCTATGATTTGTATTGGAGGAGGAAACAATGTGCAGTTCCTCCTTCAAGCTTTCTCAGAGCCCATGGAAGTGGGCTGACCCTGCAGCTGCATGGCCTGAAGAGCTGCCCTCCACCAGCCCCCACTGGGAAAAGACACCAGAGAACGCCCATGGGAAGGGTTCACAATCTAACCAGCCACTAAATCAATAAATACCCTGAGCCATCTAGCTCTGCTACAGTTCAAATGCGACAACTCAAATCCATCTATTCAAGCTGAAGAAAGCAGAACATTTCGCTAACTTCATATGAGACGACCATTGGTGTCACTGTGAGAAAGTGTGTCAGAGTCTAACCTAATGAAGGAAGCTAAATATGAGACAGTCTGTTACTTCACCTGATGGCTCCGGAGCAGGGTACTTACCTGAGCAAGGTTTGGGAAAAGTATTTCAGTGTGTTTGCAATGTCTGTCCCGGAGGGCACGGGGTAAATATTGTGTTGCACACGGTTGTGATACTCTTGCAAGTATCGTATCTTAGAGGCAACTAGACAAAATAAAAGAGCAGAGTAACAAGCGAATCAACACTAAAGGAAAAGTAAATGTTTTATCTGAGCACAAATACATGGAACTGTACATTAAAAAGCCTAASYGCACAGAGTGTTTTTAATGTTGGTGGCTGAGATCCATACATGCTGCTCTGTAGAATATAATTAACAACCTAAACAAACAGTCTGTGTTCCCATGGCTCCCTGCCTTAACCAGGTGACCTTTTAGAGCACCGCAGTGAGGTCAATTGAAGCCCCAAAGGAGACTGAAACCTACTGCTTACAGAAACAAGCTCATGAGCAAAAGGTTGCCAGTTCAAGTCCCAAGGTAAGTTGGGAAAATGTGGTCAACATGAAGGGGGCTGCATTCTCCTTAACAAATAAAGACACTGGGGGCTCGTTCCTGCAGAAGTTAGCTGCTCCACACTGAGCAGCTTCATGTGGTGTCARATGTTATTGTGTTGTTTTATTGAGTGGCAGGCTAAGAGTTAAAACAAGTTGTGGTGGGAAAACGCTGACCCATCTTCTGGGATATGGACAGTGGTGTTTACTTTTGTCCCTGACCTGTAAATGACAAAATAAAAAATGCAGCTGCAGGCTTTGGAAATGTGTATCCAAAACATTTTGTTTATCCTCTTCMTTCATTTAACCATCAGATTAAACAACATGAACAATACATTTCCATAATTAATGTGTGCTAACTGTGTGAACTGTGATTCAGTATTTACACTATTTTCCTGTATTTTTGCAATCTAATTGTTGGTACTTATGCATACATCATGTTATTTTAGCTGTTATCAACAGCTTATTCAGGAGTGGGTGCTATGACTTTTGTTCTTGTAACTTTTATACTTTTCATAATATCTACTTTTATTTTCACATAAAGCAAATAAACTCGCTATTGTTCTGCTACGTTTCATGCTAAAAGGAGGACCTTATAGTTAAGAACTAAAATTAGAAGAACTCTTATACTCTTTGCTTATTGCTTTTCTGAGGAAGTCTTGTTACTTTTAGCTTTTAGCTACTGTTTCAGTGCTTTTAGCTATTGTTTTGATATTTTTAGTTTAACTTTTTTTTGTTTTTAGTTAATATTTTGCTACTTTTTGGTTAAAGCTAGTCTTTTGGGGATTTTAACTTTTTACTAGCCTTTTGCTACTTTTAGTTTTTTTTAATTTGTCTATGTTTAGCTAACCTAATGTGTGTTTTAGGATATAAAAAACTTTTTTGCTGCTTTTAGCTTGTGTTTTGCTCTATTTTAGTCTTGTGATGCTTTTAACTAGCTATTTACTATTTTCAAGTTTTATACCAAGCATTTTTCTGATTCTACCTTTTAGCTAGCCTTTTGCTACTTTTAGCAATTCTTTGACATAATTTAGTTTTTATAGTGTTTTGTTACTTTTGCCCCCCCCCCTTATTATTATTATTATTATTATTATTATTATTTGCATTTACCTTTTGCTACCCTTAGTGTTTTAGCATTTTGCCGCTTTAAACGAAACTTTTGCAACTTTTACCTAGCAAATGTGTACTTCTAGTTTTCAAGTCAGCCWTTTTGCTTCTGTAAGCTAATGTTTTGCTCTATTTTAGCTTTTAGGCAGACTTGATACTTTTAGCTAGTTGTTTTACTATTTTCAATTTTATTTTCTAGCTAAAATTTTGTTCTCTTTTGGCTAGCCTTTTGCTACGTCTAGTTTGCCTTTGACTGCATTTAGGCTACTTTTAGAGTGTTTTGCTATCCAAACATRTATGTTTTTATGTTTAATTTTTAGCTAGCATGATGCTGTTCTGACTTTTAKCTAGCATAATGCTTGTTTTAGCTTTTAGCTAGTATTTGGCTCATTGAAGCTTTTGTCTATCGCTCTGCTTCTTTCAGCTTTGATGACTCAGTTTTAGCAAATTTCAGTAGTCATTCGGCTTTCCTGGAATTTCACATTAAATACATTTTCTGTAATTAAAGTTAATTATTTTCCGTTTGTATTGTCTATAAAACAGCACATAAGTTCAAACAGGCGGTTGTTTTAAGCCCATGTTTTTTAGTAAAAGCTGCCTGAAAACGAGCAGAACTTACTGGTTTCCACCTGTTCAAAGCAATCAGATGAATGGAGGGGTAAACACGAGAGATTTAAATCCCGTACAAAAAAAAACACGATTGATCAACATAATGCACCACATCGTTTGGTCACAGAATCCGTCAAGTCGACCTTGAGCCCAACCTCACTAACACACCTCGCTTTTTGCGCGAGCCTCCTCCGGACACGTCAATCAAAAAATAATTAATTAATTACAGTGAAATAACCGGAGGTCTGTGCCGTATTTTCTTATCCTGCAGATGGGAAACGCTCAGAGGGGGGATTCAGGGACTGTCTGTGCGCACACAGACCTCCAGCCCTCCTCTGCAGTGAGTGGGGGACGTGTTGAACCTGCTTTGGTAACCGCGGTTTCAGCACCAAGGACAGCTCCCCCGTACGCCTGCTTCAAATATTTCGCTTCCAAACATCMAACATTAAAACACACTCACACACACACAGCTGTACTCACACTGCTCTGCCTTCGTAGACATTTTGGAGACTCTTCGGGAGACATAAAACCCAGAGAGTTAATTGTTTCAAAGCTGTTTTTTCTTCTGTTTCCCCCGGTGTTGTGTTTCTCTCAGTCGTGAAAAAGTGAATATCACAGCCAGCCCAGWCTCGTTTGATTGTACCACTCTCTGCCAGATGGATTTTTTTTTACGCTGCGGCTGCGTCGTCTTCGTAATATTTTTTTTTTACAAAAATCAAATCGAGGCTCGTTTTCTGAATCTTTTTTTTTTACATTTCAGCTTTTCCCCTCTTGAGATGGAGAAGATTCGTTGGCAGATACAGCATGTGACAGCACACCTTTCCAAATGGACTGATCCAGTTTTGACAAATTGTCATTCATCAATCCGAACGACCCAATCAGCGCTCCGCGAGCTGATTATAGGAGGGAAACACCAGCAGCTACAGACAGGCTCAGCTCATCTCTGAGCTGAACATTCAAGGCTAAACACGCAACAGATGGTTGTTGTGTGCTGCTAACATGGCACTGAAGGGTTGGTTTACTTGTTCTTGTTTGTTTTTTAATTTTGTGTTATGAAATAAGTCCCACATCCTGTGTTTCCCAAAGTTGGGGTCGGGACCCAAAGTGGGGTCCCGAAACATCAAGGTGGGGTCCTGAAA